GAACAATCAGATCTCTGATATCAGATGGAGCTTGGCCATTTAAGGCTTTATATGTGAGGCCTCCTAACATGTCTGCAGATCCTGAACTTTAGGTCAAGTTTGAATAAGAATCTGACACTAAGATCCGTTCTCCTTCAGTCGTCCTGCTTGTTGATCGCAGTTCTCTCCATGCAGCCTTTATTTCCACTGGTTTCATATTTAATGGCAGTTTTCTTTGAATGCTTGTAGTTAAAGTCAGATTCCTGCTGTGAACCGTTCACAGGGACCAATACTGACCTTTGAACTTTAGCATCGCCTCAACTTCAGACAGAATTAACCCATTTTTATCCTTCATTTCTATTTCTAATTTTATTTTAAATATTGTCATTTTGAAATCTGTATAAATGATTAAACAATAAAATGACATAAAATGTCATATGCTCTGGCTTCAGAAGATGCTGAGGGCCCCATGTGGACCCGGAGGGCCCCATGTAGACCTGGAGGGCCCCATGTGAACCTGGAGGGCCCCATGTGGACCTGGGGGGCCCTATGTGGACCTGGGGGGCCCCATGTGGACCTAGAGGGCCCCATGTGGACCTGGAGGGCCCCATGTGGACCTGGGGGGCCCCATGTGGACCTAGAGGGCCCCATGTGGACCTGGNCCCATGTGGACCTAGAGGGCCCCATGTGGACCTGGAGGGCCCCATGTGGACCTGGGGGGCCCCATGTGGACCTAGAGGGCCCCATGTGGACCTGGGGGGCCCCATGTGGACCTGGGGGGCCCCTTGGTGCCCTGATATAATGTGTCCTATTTCCTCTAATGTTAAACTGAAGCAGCGTCCGGTTGGTCCAAAGCTGATCTTCCATTTCCTGCTGTGAAAAAGACCAACAGGTTTTCTGTCCCTTATGTAAGGTGAGGTCGGGTTACATCATGCAGGGTAGTGGAGTAAAGGTGAACCGCTGAACCGTTATCATGATGGATCTCTGATCCACGGGCAGAAGGAGCAGCGCTGCTCATTTTGGACAAATGAGTGAAGCTTGAATGATCTGGAAAACTAAGCGGCTGCGTGTGTTTCCTCCTAGTTTACCATCAGAGTGAGGACATTCTGCTGCTTTAGGGATTAAATGTGATTCATGTGAAAGCAGAAAAGCGTGGCTTTCAGGGTTTTTGCCTCTGCAACTGCACACAACGCTAAAAATTTAAATCTAAATGACTTTTTTTTCATGAATTGAGAAGATAAGCGAGAATCTTTGCTAATGGAACAAAACAATTTACATTTAAAATAAGGAAAAACAAATACATCACCTTATTCCAAGTGCAGGTTATCTCAATATCTTATTCTAAGAGTAGAAATACTCTCTCCATATTTATCTGCTCACATTAAGAGTAAATACACCTAATTTAAGACATTTTTAATTATTTCTAGATGTTTTTTGCAGTGCAGGTCTTTTCTTTGGAGGCGTAACGTCATAAAAATGTGAGCTTGAACACCTGTTAAAGTTTCAGAGTGACATTAAATCATAGCAGATTAGATTGACATGAAGAGACCTACTTGGTTTGACATCCATCAAACATCCCCGTGTTGATAAAGTAGGGACACACAATGGTGGTTTTGATCCCATCTTTGCCTGTCGCCAGAAGTTCCAGGCCTATCGACTCTGCAAAGCCTACGGCTGCAAACTTACTGGCACAGTAGTCTGCAGGGAGAGGAACCAACACAGACAGGAAGTCAGCGACAGCATGCTGGGTGGGAGACCGAAGAGTCGTTACCTTCATCACAGCACCGAAGGTCACATCTGAGGCACAGTAGGACAGATCCATCAATCACCAGCAGCTTCTGTCCGTAATCAGCAGGAAGTAACCAGTTCCAGTTTCCACCAGTTCCAGTAAGAAACCAGTTTCCCTTCCACTAACAGAACAACGAGCTGCAGCCAAACCAAACTTTCTGTTTTCTGAATCCTCTCTAAGCTGTGGCTGTCTCCCAACGTCCGCCCTGACCCCTGACCTCTGACCTCTGACATCACTTTATAGAGCGGAGACTATATAGTGAACTCAGTTAATTGACCCGTCGGACAGATTATCACTACTTTTCACTCCCCGTTTGTCATATGACTCCGCCTCCCCACACGCCGCCTTCGCCATCCCATCATGCTTTGCGAGGAGAGCTCTCGCAAAGCATTCTGGGATATATCTGTTCATCTAGTGACCATGGATGATCGCGACTTTTCAAGGTGCATTGTGGGAAATTTCAAGTTCACTACTTTTTAATCCACTAGACGATCGGACGCTCATCTAAAACGGCGTAACAACGATCTAGTGGTCAGGGCGGACGGGCGGACGCAGCCTTATTCACTTCCTTTGAATAGTTTGCTTGAATTTGGGCCCATTTCTCCGGATAGAACTGGTTTAACTGGGTCCGCTCTGAACCACCATGTTCCCTCGACCACATTTTTTAATAAACGGAAAAATGAGATTGAAACTTTAGGTTCTTGCTTCTCAACTGATAAACATTAATCACAGATTTGATTTTCCTTTGGGATCAATAAGAACATCGTCAGATTAAATTAAATTAGATCATTGCTGGAAATTCTCTGTTTTATTTCAACTACTGACCGTTTCTTGTGTATCCGTATAATTTAGAGAAAATGTTTTTCCTTGTAAGGTGCAGATGGCTGCAGATGATGAGAACCATAGATCTGTGACACAGCTGGACAGATGTCTGGATGAAGGCTGTAATGGACATTAAGACTGGTTCTGGTTTCTCCTCGGCTTTTGCTAAATGCATTCCTGGTTGTGGGATTGCTGCCAACCATTCAGTTTGTGCTTTTCCTTAGACTGATGGATCGACTCACTGTTAGCATGTCTATTAGCCTATTAAAAGAACAATCAGATCTCTGATATCAGATGGAGCTTGGCCATTTAAGGCTTTATATGTGAG